CTTTGGAGAGTGTCAGGAGTTTTCTTACTGAAAAATAAAGAAGATTTGCTCATGTTAACAGCTTGACCAGTGAAGATCTTGTGTCTCTCAAGGATAGACAGAATAGTGTTGACCTGGTCCAGAGAAGCTTTGCAGAAAAACAATGAGTCATCTGCAAAAAGCAGATGGGAGACTGCAGGCCCATTAGCAGAAATCCTTAATCCAGTGAGCTGACCTGTTTGAGTAGCATTGGTAACAAGAGCAGAAAGAACCTCAGCCACAATGAGAAAAAGATAGGGGGAGAGGGGGTCCCCCTGTCTTATTCCTCTAGATGGAGACACAAAGCCACTGACCTCCCCATTAACCTTGAAAGAAAATGAAGAAGTAGAGATGCAGATCATGATAAGGTTGACAAAGTCTTGATGGAAGCCCATTTGCAGCATAATTTTTTTAATACACACCCACTCCACTCTGTCAAAGGCTTTCATACGATCAAGTTTTAGGGCCATAAAGCAGTGCTTGCTAGAATTATGTTTGTTCAAATAATGAAAATCTTCTTGCCCAATTATCACATTATCCATGAGTTGCCTGCCTTTAATAAATGTTGACTGAGAGTCACTAATACACCCATCCAGGCAAGTCTGAAGTCTAAGAGCAAGGATTTTAGAGAGAGTCTTGTAAATAACTGAGCACAAGCTGATTGGCCTAAATTGAGTCACATATTCAGGGTTGAGGCATTTAGGAATGAGAGAAACGATTGTGTGGTTCCAGTATTTCAGAATAAGACCTTTGTCATTCAGGAAGCTGGAAATAGCAGTCACTACATCATATTTGATAATCTCCCAAAAGGATTGATAAAAAAGAGCAGTCATATCGTCCTCTCCCGGAGATTTATCAGGGTGCAAGCTAAAGAGAGCTGATTTAATTTCTTCTTCAGAAGTTGGAATGAGCAAATGCTGGTTCATCTCTTTAGTGATTGATGGAGTAATTAGAGGGAGAATAGAGTCCCCTCCCCAGGACCCTTCTGAGGTGAAAAGGTTGGAGTAGAATTGAGTGATGTGGTTCTGAATCGATTGTTGGGAGTCACATATGGTATTCTGACTGGTAAGCAACCTTGTGATGACATTCATTCTTCTTTTGGACATTGTGTAAGCATGGAAGAATTTCGAGTTGTTATCTCCTTCCTTAAGCCATTGAATTTTGGCCTTTTGCTGCCAAAAAAGTTCTTCATTTCTGTGAGCTGTTTGAAATTCTTTTTTGGTTGCCATCCACTCCTCCCAGTTGCCTGAGATTCCTTCTTCTTGCAAAGAAGCCAGTTTTTTGGAGAGGTTTTCAATTTCAGATTGGTTCTGGGACTTAAAAGAAGCACTCCAAATAAGAAGAGCCTTCCTAGTAGCTTTTATCTTCTCCTTCAACTTGAAAAATGGAGTTCCAAAGCAAGGAGTGTTCCAGGCTTTTTGAACAATATCAGAGACCCCATCTCTAGCTAACCAATGTTTTTCAAAGTGAAATCTGCTCTTCTTTTTGGCTTTCTTCTCCCTAGAGTTCAACACCAACATAGAGTGATCAGAGGCAGATTTGGCACAGTTAGTAATGGAGGCTTGAGGATGAATGTTCAGCCAATCTTCAGATGCAAACCCCCTGTCTAACTTAGCCTCAATCAATCCTTCTGCAAATATGTTGTTGCACCAGGTGAATTTGTAGCCAACCATGTTAATTTCCTCTATATTCATGTGGTTAATAAAGGAGTTAAACCCAGTCAGACTGAAGGTAGACCTAGGATTTCCTCCAATTTTTTCCTCGCTTCTGCAGATATCATTCCAATCACCCAAGATGTGCCAAAGGGGACCCCAGGATTGTTGATCAATCTTCAATTCTGCCCATTGAGCTAATCTGATATGGGGGTTGGTGCTGATGTAGACAAATATGCCCCAGGTTGGGTTAGAATCTGCCAATTTGTATTCAATAGCAATGTAGAAGGGTTTGTTTACTACTTGAATTATATGCACTTCAGTAGACCAGCAAAGAAGCAATCCACCACTCAAGCCCATAGGATCCACTAATGAGTATCTGTTCTCAAATCCCAGTTTCCTCACAACAGACTTCACAAAAGCAGCTGATTTCTTGGTTTCAAACAGGAAAGTAAAAGCTGGGTGGTGAGTCCTACATGACTCTCGGATTTGGGAAATTGTAGAGGGCCCACCCAGCCCTCTACAATTCCACACCACAGCTAACATTGGTCACTGGGGTGCCATTCAAGGCTGGCAACCCCCACCTTCTCAACATTCTCAGCTAACAAAGAACTATCATCCACCTTTGAAATTTTTGAGCTTTTAGTAAAATCAAGAGACTCACCATCTGAGGAAGGCCTTTTAGATCCTGAGGTTTGATCAATAACAATAGGAATAGTTGGCTCCCTTTGCAATCTGCCCGATTTCGAACCAAGCCTTTTCCAAGTCCTAGTGAGTGGAACAGTGAGCTGCATCTGTTGATCAAGTGATTTAGGTGTGCTCTGTTCCCCAGAGTGTTCCACTTCTATCACTATAGAAGGATCCACTAACTGAAGTCCTAATTCCACAAGGGCCTCTTTGTCGGCTGATATTTTTAAGGAAGAAGTGATAGATGTAGCTGAATCAAGCTTTAAGGGTATTTGGTTCTTCTCTTTCTGTATGGGTGGAGTGTAGGAATCCTCCCTCACCTGAACAATTTGGTTGCTCTGAACAGCTTGACTCGATGAAGCTTTCTGTGAGGTTCTTTGCTCTGAGTCAGAGTGAGAGTTCATAGGAGGAGAATTCCTAGAGCTTGAGAGATTAGTGCCCACCCACTTATAGCCATCTGTGACCCTTAGCCAGTCACCATACTGACCCTTTTTCAAGGAGTTGTTCTTGATATCAAGAATTTTCTTGCTACAAGTGCGATCCAGATGCCCAATCTTTCCACAATAGTGACACAGGTTAAAGAGTTTTTCATATTTGAATCTCACACATACTAATTGATCTCCCAATCTGATCTGAGCAAGTCGAGGGATAGGTTCATCAAAATTGAGAGTGACCAGGAGACGTAGCAGTTTGCCTCCATGGTTACTTGTGTTGACTATTACCACGTTGGTGACTTCCTTTAAAGTTTTGCCAATCTTGAGCCCAACCTCAGTACTCGTCCAGTTTAGTGGTAAGTTGTTGACTTGAACCCATAGATTAATCTCCTTGAACGTGGGATGATGAGTGTTCCGCTGATGAATCCATTCTCAGAGTATCAAATACTGATTTTTGAATGTCCAATTTGAGCCGTTGGCAACTCTCACCTTGTCCTCCATACTTTCGAAAATGAATTGAAAATAGTTTGGACTTAGTTCCTTGGCATCCATCGGCTGATTCAGCTTCCAAATTTGGCTCATTGCCCGTTTAATACCAAACCAGCCTGCCACCCTATCGCCAATGACTTTGTCGAATAAGCTGCGCTTACATTCATCATCGCTAATGCGAATATCTCTTTGCGCAATATCAATTACATTAACTTCCCTATCCGATAAGGAGAAATCATGAAGTAAAGAGGAAAGATCCTCGTCTTCAGAGGCCTTAGAGCTACTCGCCATTAAGGAACCCTAGAAAATGAGAAAGCGAGAAAAAAGGGTTAATATAAACGGGGAAATCTCAAGATGAAGGATCTGCAATAACTGAAAATCAAAAACTGATGGAGAAAGAAGAGGAGACAGAAACAATGAAGGCTATCAGCGAGAGAATCTGAGCTCTCAAACGAGAGAATTGAGTATACTATAGATTAAAAATATGAGTTACAATATGCATTAATTAGTATTCTTGAAAAATAATAGCAATCACTTAATATTCCAAGACAATCATATATTTTAATTTTTATAACTCATTTAGAAAAATTATAATTCTATTTTTCTTTATGTAAACGAAAACTATTGATCGTCTAGTTATTATATTTTTTTTTCAAATGGAGTGCTTAGGATATAATTTGTGGTTGGTGTGTTGATGAAAAATAATTAATCAACTTCTTAACATTTCCGAAACTAGTACCACTCGGTTCATTAATCATTATGTCGGATATTCATCCATCTGCAGGGTTTGACATAATATTCTTTCATGAGCTCATTTCGGGGACGTCATCAACCCAGCGCAAGGAGACATAGTGACCATAAATAATTTATAACAACATATCTTATATACACCCTAATTTACCAAAGTACTGAGTATGTCATCCTAACATAATAGATTCACCTTGGTAAATCAAATAAACAAGTAATGAATATATGCCCGCTTTATATTATCTTACGGTTTTAGGGAACGCATCAATTACCGAAGATCTAGATTATAACTACGATCAGTGAGTCTTATAATCTTATCCTTCCACGGTCTTGTTCAATACTTATCATGAGTACTAGTGTAATCCATCAGTCAAAGATCAACCGAATCAAGAATTACACTATAGTCCTTTTCCAAGAGGGGTCTCAACGTCTGTCGAGACTGTGAATGAATAATTTAGTCTTACAAGAAACCGATAGATGATCTTTCTGTTCGAGACACCACGGACCATACTATCTCAATGTAAGACAAGGAGTATGATTACATAAATAAATAAACTGCAAGCATATGTACCTTGACTAAAACATGATTGCCAGATCAAAATGAAATTGATAGAATCTGCAAAACGAGCTTTTACAATATACCTCTAACAGTTCCAACATCATCCTTAGAGAGCTTCTTATTGCTCCCCATAGAAGTTGCAGGACACTTAACATGTTCTAACCCGAACTTTTTCACCAAGTTCTTAGCATGTCTGGATTGACCCAAGCTTTTGATGTAGATCCAAAGATAATGTCACAACGTAAATCTTAACGATGATAATATCTTTCTTAGATTTTCTCACAAAAAAAGTTTGATCAACTCCTTCTAGAGATGACCCTTATTAATCAAAAAGTTATTCAAGTGGTCGTACCATGCTCTAGAAGCTTGTTTGAGTCCATATAAGGCCTTCTTCAACCTATACACATGATCTGGATGAGGGTCCACAAATCCTTCAGGTTGCTTAACATAAGCTACCTTTTCCAAAAAGTCATTCAAAAATGCGGATTTTCCATTTGATAGATAATAAAGCCAGCAAACATGCAATGGATAAGAACATCCTAACAGACTCTAGACGAGCAACATGAGAAATATGTTTCATCAAAATCTACACCTTTATTTTGAGTGTATCCCTGTGCCACAAGACGGGATTTGTTCCTAGTGATCTCCCCCAATTAGTTCGTTTTATTTTTAAAAATCCATTTTGTTCCAATGACGTTGCGATCAGTGGGTCTATGAACAAGCTCCCAAACATCATTCCTAAAAAATTGTTCAAGTTCCTCCTGCATAGCTTGCACCCAAAAATATAAAGTTCCAATGATGTTTCAATCAGTGGGTCTATGAACAAGCTCCCAAACATCATTCCTAACAAATTGTTCAAGTTCCTCATGCATAGCTTGCACCCAAAAATATAAAGTTTCTTTAGCATTTTTGGGTTTCAACTTTGACACATAACACGCAATGTGACATAGACCAGCCATCTTTCGAAAGTTTGGTTTTACACCTCTTGTATTACGTTTACAAATCCCTCTAATAATTGAATCTTTAGGATGATCCTTTTGAATTTTAGCATGTGGATCTCGCCTAGATTCAGTGGAATTTTCAGAGGGCGTTGGAACACAGTAGTCATTATTCTCACAAACTTGAACTTCTCATCATATTCAGAAACATCAGTTTTAATTTCATTCAAAACGTTTTCAACTTCAGAATTCACAGAATTCTTGCCTACAAAGACATCAACCTGAGCAACATCAAGTGTAAGAACATTATCAGATAAGTCATCAAAGACATCATTTATTGGAGGAGTAACCAATCAACTGACCAATGTCACTTTTAGACTCAAATTTACCTTGATGTTCTGATGCAGACAGAAGCATAAACGAAAGGATATACGAGTATCAAACTCAAGACAGATATGATTTTTATTCAAACTTCTCCTCATACACAATTATATTCATATATATGATAATCTTCTCGTGCCTCTTGATTTTCCTAATGAATATACTTAGTTTTTCAAGACAAACTATATTTGAATGTCTCTTTGATTTTCAAGCTTATTCTAGATTTCATCACTTAGTCAAAATAATAATATCTTTGATTTTCAAGCTTATTCTATATTTCATCACTTGGTCAAAATAATAATAATAATAATAATAATAATAATAATAATAATAATAATAATAATAATAATAATAATGATAATAATAATAATAATAATAATAATAATAATAATAATAATAATAATAATAATACTAAAGGCCACCATCACATGCAAGATTCATGCACGTTTCGACGTCGCTCGTATTTGTCCATGAACGCCAAAGAGATTTCCTCGCCATCATCCTCTCCGGGTCGAGGAGGATTCACACTCAAATCTGGATCGATCTCCTCGTCGTCGGGATTGTCAGTTCGGTAAGGAACAAGGTGTTTGACGTTAAAAACGTCTTATTATTTTTTTTTTTATGTGATATAATCTAAATTTGATTATTAAATTTTAAATTCAAACATTTAAAGGAAAAGACCACGAACAAATTTTTTGGTTACATTTCATTTTATCTTAACTTCCATATAATCACATTCCTAGCAAAATATTTAGTACTCTCTCCTATTTTTATTATTTGTTGTTTTGAGAAGCAACACACTAATTAAAAATTCTTTTCTTGCCAATATTAACCCTATTTAATGGATGTTATGAGAAACTAGGGAGATGGGATATGAAGAGACATTGTGCATTGATGGAGAGTTAAAATTGGAAAAGTATGAACAAAATAGCCACAATGACATTTATTTAATCAATGATCCATTAAGCCAAAATGACAAATAATAAAAATAGGAGGGAGTATAAATATTCTTTTATCCACATTTATATAATCGGATTTCTTAAAATATAATTAATATAAAATTTTAACTAATTAATCATTTGTATAACTTGATTTATATCATTAACAAACTTGCCAATTTTTTTAAAATTAAAAAAAAAAAATTGACGATTTTGATTTGCAAAAAAATAAAAAAATAGCTTTACTTTAAGGTTTGGATTCTTTCCATTATTTTTGGTACATTAGCAATCATATATTGGATAATTGATTTAAAAAATTAAAACTGTAAGATTTAATAATATTCCTTAAATAAAAAATATTATATAAAGAGAAGTGTTTAATAATATATATTTTTCATTGTTTGTATTTATTTTATGAGAAAAAATTTTTTAACCTCCCAACTTATGTCATTTTTTAGAGTTTTCCATACAAACTTTATTTTTTGACAATTTGTCTCCCAATGTAATCGAAACTGACAATTTTCCTTCCCAATTAAAAACCCTAATATGGCACAAAAGGGTTTTTAACTCAATTAATGATAAATTTTAAATTAATCTTTAAAATTGATTTAGGACTTTTAAAACCAATGACGATACGAATAATAAATGAGGTATGATTTGTTGAATTCTGAAAACTGATACCTATATAATCGATCCACAAAGATAGTAGGAGCACGTGTGCATAGAAAAAATTTCAATTCAAGTTTTATGATAATCAAGAAATCTGATTTTCGATTGGGAAGTGTCATTTGAAAGCTTGCAGGACCAATTTTTTAACGCGTAAATCTTATGAAAATCCAACGGTCGGATTTTGATCAGTATTTAGAAAACTACTGATCAATAGTTAGTTTTATTTAGGCTACTAATCAAAATCCGACCGTCGGATTTTTATAAGATTTATTTCGATAGAAAACTCGTCCTCCAAGCTTTCAAATGACACCTCTAAAATCGAAAATCGGATATCTTTATTTTCAAAAAAAAATGAATTGAAATTTTCCTTATACACACGTGCTCCTACTATCTTCGTGGAGGAATAAATTATCAGAATTCGACAAAGCATACCTCATTTTGATCCTTTCGCTATGAGCTTTAAAAGCTCTAAATCAATTTTATAGATTAATTTAAAATTTATCATTAATTGAGTTAAAAACTCTTTTATGTCATATTAGAGATTTTAATTGATGAGACAAATTGTCAATTTCGCTTACATTAGGAGGCAAATTGTCAAAAAATAAAGTTTGTATGACAAACCCTAAAAAATGACATACTTTGGGAGATTAAAAATATTTTTTCCTTATTTAATTTCCATAAGAGATGAGATATGAAAAATATAAAAAAGTACTATCTCATTTTTTAAATAAATGTCGTTTTGACTTTTTTGATTCATCTAGACATATTAATGTCTAGATACATAGCAAAATGGATGAATCAAAAAAGTCAAAACGACATTTATTTAAAAAAGGAGGGAGTAATATTTAAAATAAAATCTAAAAAAATGTTTAATATAAACTAGGTTTGATCAAGAAGACGAGGGAAGAGTTTTGAGTCTTTTGAATGAGGAAAAGTGACGAGGGCACTTCAGTCAATTGAAAATCTATATATATATAATTACTAGCTTATGTGCATTTAATAAAACCTCAAATTTTTTCCCTCCAAAAGAGGTTACTTTGCATTAATTAAGTATTTATATTTTTATTTTATTTTATTATATAGCAATTACTACTAACAAATCATAAAGGCACATTAAATGAAATTATAATTTTAAATTTTTTTCAAACTATTTATTTGATTTTTTTTTTTTTTGGTTT